TATATACATGAAGTATATAGAAGTATACAGAAGTCAAATGGCAAAAACTGTACAACCTCATGAAGATTTCGTGTAACTACTGAATCTATGTCAGAGTTTGTAAGAGGTGTGAATGATATATCTGAAAACTAATTCTGCAGCTACATTTTGTATAACCGGCATTTTTTTCTGTGAATTTCAGCCCTTCCCACTGATTAGCATAGTCTATGTATACAGGTTGACGTTGAAAATAAAATCGAAAATGAAAACTTAAATTTACATTTAAATTTGAATTGAGTCACTATTATAGTGCTAATGTTAATAACAAGCTTTGTAAAAATTGTGTTTGCATTTTATTTTTCAGTTTGGCTTTTCATTTTAATATTGTCAGTCTTGACGTTAAAATGCTGTGAAAAATTAATTGTTATATTTGCAGTTTAATTTTATTTATCGATTTGATGGACAATGTGTTGTCACAGTGACAATTAAAATGAAATAATTTCATTTGCATTTTTGGCAGATATTTTGTGAACGGTGTTTTATAAGGAAATTGGTAATCTGGTTTTCATTTTAATTTCCAATGTTTATTTGATCTTAAATTGGCAGGAATTACCTTCCATAGTTTCCATCCTTTTTTTTTTGTTATTGAAAACTTGATATTTTGAACAATGTTGGTGATAATACATGTGGCAGTAGCTATTATCTTTCATAGTAGTACGGATATTGTATGGAGGTCAATGGGGTCCATCAACACTCTTTGGTTACAAACACTATTAATATAAAAAAAAAAAATAAAAACGTAGTCTGCCTGAAGTGGATCTAAAACTTTGAGTTTCCTTTTTCTGTTAAAGTTAATGATTACAGATTTCCAGCATTATTCAAAATATCTTCTTATGGGTTCAACAGAAAGAAATAAAGCCGAGACATGTTTGTGAGGATTCAGTTAAATAATGTCAGAATTTTCAGGTTTGAGTGAACTATCCCTTTAATTCCTTAGGAATCTGTCATGCTGCTTCTCGGTATTTGAGTCATATCCTGCATATGGCATTTCTTTTCAGCTTGCATTTGAATAAGGCTGTAGTTAATGTAGTTATTAAAAAACTTGAGTTGCATAGGCCTGTCAACAATCAATATAACAACTAATCGCACAATATATGGACAAGACCTCAATCATTTTTAGTGATGCAATATATATCACCCACACATAAAAAACAATTCTATCACCATTTTAGCCCAGGATATGCATTTTTTTACATTCTTACATTCTGATTACAATTTTTGATTATTAAATTGTTAAAATGACTACATTTAAAGGAAATACTCTTAAGAATTAAATAATAAGTGTTCTTTGAAGAAGTGTACTTGTCATTTCGGCATTATATAACAAGTGACATAAAATGATCCTAAAATGACTATTATAATTTATCGCAATTTAATTTGGTGCAATATTTTGTATGACAAAAAATAGATATCTTGACAGGCCTAGTTTGAACATATTTACTGAAATATTAGTATTCTAAAGGCAGCAATATTGAGTTTTTGTTTTCAATGTCATAATTGTTCATTTGGGTTAATTATTTTATATGCATGTCTAAAATTAAACAAACCAAATAATAGTTGGGTCTTGCCTGAACATTCATTCATTTTCTTTTGCGAATGCCCTTTCAGCTGCAATCCATCTCTGGGAAACATCCATACACACTCATTCACACACATACACTATGGATAATTTAGTCTACCCCAATTCACCTGTACTGCATTTCTGTGGACTGTAGGGGAAACCAGAGTACCCAGAGGAAACCCACACGAACGCAGGGAAAACATGCAAACACCTCACAGAAACTTTTCCAGCCGAGGCTCGAACCAGCTGTGAGGCGACAGCACTACCTACTGCACAGGTGTCAAACTCAGTTCCAAAAGGGCCGCAGCTCTGCACAGTTTAGTTCCAACCCTAATTAAACACACCTGATCAAACTAATTGAGTCCTTCAGGCTTGTTTGAAACCTACAGGTAAGTGTGTTGGAGCAGGGTTGGAACTAAACTGTGCAGGGCTTCGGCCCTCCAGGAATTGAGTTTGACACCCCTGACCTACTGCGTCACAGTTTGCCTGACATATGCATGTTTAATCCAATCCTAAAAGTGTTATATGAGGATAATGATCATGTATAACTTAAAAAATATATTTATATTTCCTTCATTTAAATCAATCCCTATTAATTATTTTATATTATCATTAGTTTTAGGGCTCTTTTTGGTAACGCAAATGGCTTAAATATTGTGTGAGGGTTTTAAACTTGAGGTTTTTAAATTTTTTTTTACTTCCTGCAACTAATTTTACCTGTTTAGAAACAGCCATAGCAAAAGAAATAAAGATATTTAATTTGGTAAGCAAAGAAAAAAAATGTAAATAAATGGAAAATGAGACATTATGAGTACTTTTTAATATTGAATTTAAAGTATGTGTTCTACAGTTTATGGTTGTATTGTTTTTGAAACAGTAATAATATGTTATGGCATTTCCCTTAAATCAGCATTTATAGACAATAGAGATCCTACATCAAACTCTTAACAGGTGTTATATGAGGGTAACGGTCAGGCATAACTTTAAAAAATATGTTTCCTTCATTAAAAACTATTCTTTTTACATTTGCACTAACCTCCGTTAACCTTTTAGTGGTGGTTCATTCCGCTGTGGTGACCCCTGATCGAACTCAGGAACTCAGCCCAAGGAGAATGGATGATTCTTTTGGAAAAAAAAACAGCCTTTATAGTGTGTGCAAATTTTATAAAGGATTTTTAATTTCGTTCAGAAGCAGCAATAGCAAAAGAAATTGCATTTGGTAGTAAAAAAAACAAACATTTTTAGTAAATGAACAATAGACATAATGACAACTTTTGTTAAGTACTAAATTTCTAGTTGTTTCTACAGTTTATGGTTGTTTTGTTTTTGAAACAGTAATTATGAAACGTGTTATGGTATGTCCCTTAAATCAGTATTTATAGACAGTATCAAACTCTAAACATGTGTTGTGATTTTAACAAGAAGGTTTTGCTTAATCTGTCGTTCGGGTCTCCTCTTTTCGGTCCCATAATCCCATAATCTTTTTGGAGTATGTCGGGTCTCCACTCCCTCCTCCAGGGGGCGGGAGGGACATTATTCAACCCGGAACTGTGAATGTGATCAATTAGAGCTAGAACTCTCCGAAAACTTTGAACGAAATGTAACTCCGGATCGCTCGAGACGAATCAAATCACGGTCGCCGTTTAGCGCAGACAAAAACGCAAATGTTCATCCGCCTCGCCGCTCCGTGAACTCCCAGAGTCTGATTTTTCTTCCCGCTTTTAACAGGTAAGACTAAACAAAATCACTTTTGTTTGCAACTTCCCTCGAAGGTTGAGCAAATCAAAACAGCTTAAAACTTATAAACATTTGCTTTCATCAATTGTTTTGTGTTTAAATCTCGAGTTAAACAAGAAGCTTCAAGCGCAAGTTTGTTTGTGTTGTTTCCTCAGGGTTGTAAAACAGTTTCAGACTGATTATAACACAGAAAACTGTCGAGTTTATATACTATGGGTTCTTAAATGTGTCCCTGTAAGTGTTTTGACACTGGCATACGTTGTTAGTGCACAATATACAAAACAATTCGCATGAAATCTTAAAACATGTGACTAATAATCTTTTCCAGCACTTTTGGATTTACAGAGGTGGGATTGAGAAATGCAGCAGAAATGTTGGAGGTTGTTGGTCTGGCAGAGAGTGGCACGGATGAAATTCCTGGCATCCTAAATTCCTCCATTCACTCCCACTGGAGATCAGACCTGCACATGGGTCAAAGGGCATGGATTTGTTTTGGGATTCCTGTTAGTGGCCCCTCAAGTAGTCGGTGTTGATTGTTTTGACCATTCTAACTTCGACAAATCATTCCCTGAAGCAAAAAGTAGACTGAGTAGCAAGAGAACTGTGCTGTCACAACTTCTCTCTAAAGCGTGCTGAGGCATGCTGGGAATGGAGTCTGAGAAACACAAACATTCAGTCTGTGTCAGCAGCTCTTACACCAAGCCTTGGATTGAAGGCTGTGACCTAGAAGTAGTCGAATAGGAGCTCATAGATATTCCAAATCACCTGGGTTAATTTAGTGTCAACACTAAAACAGTCAACCTAACTGGTTAACAAGTGAATAATCAGCATAGATCCTGAATATATGAGGAGTTTCCACTGATTTGTTATTTTGAGTTCGTTTTGTGTTTAAAATTCACTGAAACCCAGCTTTCATACTTTCAGTGGTAAGTCTTGTTGAGCACACATATGGAAGTACTTGAGTCTGTTTAACAATTCGGCAGAGGCTCCTTAATAAAGCGGCTGTGTGTGTGTGTGTGTGTGTGTGTGCGCACAGAAGTGGCCTCGGCCTCAGATGGCACCACAGTCTTTTCATTGACACTGACTTTCTGATCATATCTTGTAGAAAGAAGGAACAGATTGACATTTCTGATTATTTGGGTTTTAAGTGTAATTTACCACAACATGAGACCACTTTTTTGTTGTTCAGAGGATATTATTTCATATTATTTAAGAAACAAAAAGAGAGAACTTTATTAATTTGAAGTATGATTTGAATGGAACGTATCAAAATGAATGTGTTTTGTTATGTGTCTGCGTATTAGGCTATTTCTTGTCAGCTGAGAACTTCTGAAGAGTTTATACATAAAGGTGTAAAACCGCCCAGAATAGTTTTCGTCTGACACAAATGAGGATCTGCTGCAAAGCGATCTGCAATCTTTCTTCTGCTGAGCAGCATAGTTTCATGTTTACTCATTGTATTTAGATGTGTTTTGGGCGATAGGATTACAGGTAGAGGAGAAAGACACATTCCCATTTATACCTGCCTTTGAAATCCGTCTGTTTTGTTCACTTTTAATCTATTTTCTGATGAGCAACGGTCCACAGGTGGGTGTTTGTGTACACTAGGGCTGCATAATGTTTGAAAAATGTAGCATTGCGATAATTTTGTAGTTTGCAATATACATTTGCAGCCCATTTTTTTAGGTACACATTACTTGTACCAGGTTAGACCTTCTTTTGCCTTCAGAACTCCCTTAATCCTTTGGCAAAGATTCAACAAGGTACTGGAAATATTTCTCAGAGATTTTGGTTGACATGATAGCATCATGCAGTTGCTGCAGATTTGTCGGCTGCACATTCATGATGCGAATCTCCCATTCCGCCACATTCCAAAGGTGCTCTATTGGATTGGCATCTGGTGACTGTGGAGGCCGTTTGAGTACAGTGAACTCATTGTCATGTTCAAGAAACCAGTTTGAGACGATTCACTGTTAATAACCCAGCGCGTTATTCTGCTGGAAGTAGCCCTCAGAAGATGGGTACACTGTGGTCATAAAGGGATGGACATAGTCAGCAACAATACTCAGGTAGCCGGTGACATTGACATGATGCTCAATTGCTACTAATTGGCCCAAAGTGTGCCAAAAATATCCCCTACAACATTACACTACCAGCAGCAGCCAGAACCGTTGATACAAGGCCATGCTTTCATGGTGTTGACTCTACCATCTGAATGTCACAGCAGAAATCGAGACTCATCAGACCAGGCAACATTTTTCCAATCTTCTGTTGCCTAATTTTGGTAAACCTGTGTGAATTGTAGCCTCAGTTTTCTGTTCGTAGTTGACAGGATTGGCACTGCTGCTGCTGTTGTAGCCCATCCGCCTCGAGGTTGGACGTGTTGTGCGTTCAGAGATGTTCTTCTGCATATCTCGGTTGTAACAAGTTGAGTTACTGTTGCCTTTCTATCAGCTCAAGCCAGTCTGGCAATTCTTATCTGACCTCTGGCATCATCAAGTCATTTGCGCCCATAAAACGGCCGCTTACTGTTAATTTTCTTTTTTTTCGGACCATTCTCTGTAAACCCTAGAGATGGTTGTGCGGTAAAATCCCAGTAGTTCAGCAGTTTTTGAAATACTCAGACCAGCTAGCCTGGCACTCACAACCCTGTCATGTTTAAAATCACTTAAATCAACTTACTTCCTCATTTTGATGCTCTGTTTGAACTGCAGCAGATCATCTTGACCAAGTCTACGTGCCTAAATGCATTACTTTGCTGCCATATGATTGGCTAATTAGAAATGTGCGTTAATATGTGTACCTAATAAAGTGGCTAGTGTGCGTATGTGTTGTGATATGAATACAGTTTCACCAGATGACTTAAGTTAAAATCTCTCTTTATAATGTTTGATCAACTGGGATGATTTAGCAGTGGAAGTCTCCATAAAATCTAATATGCATTCTGTAAAGCTTCTCGACACATTTTTGTTGTGGTCTGCTTATTTGCATGTGTTGTGAGTATTTTCATGCATGTGTTTAGTCAATGATTGATGAATTCATGTTTACTATTTGCATCTCCATAAAATCTAATAAACGATCTATAAACTTTTTGGACACATTTTTGTTGTGGTCAGTGATGTAGACCATTTTGATGAATGTAAACAAAAACTATGGTCCCAACGTAATTCCTGTTTTTTTTTTTCATTTTTAATTAGCTTCTGAGAATCCAAAAAGAGCCTAGAATCTCGAAGTGTATTAATATTAGAGATGTACTGAGTTTTTGGCAACCAAAAATGTATCAGCCAAAAATACGTTATGCCGTTAAATGGACCCTGTTTTACTAAACAATAAGAACTCCCCGATGGCATGGGGCCAGCGTGAGAGACGCTCGGGACTGTAGACTGGATCGTTACTGGCCTGATTGGCTGCCTTGTCACTAAAGTAAAATTTTTCTGTGACTACTTGTCAATAGTGTGTAAATACAGAATCGAGAAACAGTTTGTTCTTTTAAGCTTTTACCTTCAATGTGAAGTTGCAAACACCATATTGCTTTTCAGTTCCTATTGTCTGATTGGATGTTGTGAGCATGTTTTTTTTTTCTGTAACCTTGTAACAACCAGTATAGGTTCAGAGATGGCAACATAAAATTATGAGGCTAAAAGAAAACGTCTTTTCCTAATGTCTTTGAAGCATACATTTATGAGGGTACATCATGGCGAAAAAAATATTGTGATGTTTTGCAGTTTGCCATCAGTTTGGCAAGGCAGCCACGCTTTGTTTTGCAATAAAATACCTGCACATTTTCCATACTGCTATTTTTGTTTGCGTAACACCTTGAATTCTGCTCATTATACATTCATTAGCATTTTTAAAACATTTAAATTCTGGATTCACAGACATTTTTCTTGACAATTAATTGTGAGAATTTTTTTGTTTTTGGTTTTGGTTGAGCCAGTAGAAAAAATCCTTAGCCTTGAATCCTGATTTGAAATGCAGAGCAGAGTGAGTTTTGGATCGACAGAACCAAACAAATCCAACCTGGTTAAGATCAGGTTGAGTTTTTAAAAATGTGGATTTAACGGCACTATTCACACAAGACACAGAGTGATCTATTTTAACAATCTAGGTGCAAAAGCATTAAGGATGTGTCCGAATCCTTGTTTGATATTTTAAGGATTAAAAAATATGGTCACGAATCCCGATCTAGGTGAAATGGTCTAACAGGGTTGTGCTTATTCTCTTAATGAGTTATGTGTGCGATTGGAGTCTCATTACCCATTCCCTTTAAAAGTCAGTTGCTTGCACCATGGCGCATTTGCTATTTACATGGCGGTTTTTGTAAGTGGAAAAACTGAACACTTCACTAGCAAGAATAAATGCTCCGGTAAAACAGAGCATCTGCACGAGGATAAAGAACAAGCCTTCTCCATTCGGCCCTGTTTCTTTTACTCTTTACTCCTTTACTTTTGTGGATGAGAAAACGGTGTTGTATGTAGCCTACCATTTCAACTGACCCGCATGATGTTTGTTTTAATCATAACCAAATCATATATAAAATTATACACAAATTACAACCTGTCAATCACTTTTTTACGCGGGACTCCGGCATGAAAAGGCAGAATGATCTGTGTCGTTATAATGGCGTCAACAAACTTGGATGGTTAAAAAAAAGGTGCACAACCAACAGTATCTGAGGTTTTCCCTGAAATGACAAAGTATAAGTGTGAAAGCAAAAGATTAAAGCAGTGTACCGATGTTGTGACGCGTTACCTGATAGATTTTAAAAGACCGAAGAGTCATTAAATAGAGACAAGAATAATTAAATATTATGTTTAACAACTATGGTGAGAATAGTTGACTTGCACTGCTTTCTGGGATTTTGTGCTCACAGCACCTGTTGACTGCCTGCAGCTCATGCCAGAGAGTGTGTGTGTGTGTGTTTGTGTTTTGTTTGTTTGTTTGTTTGTTTGTTTTTGCGGTCACGTGATGTGCATTTTCAGCGGTATAGT